TTCGGAGAAATAGTGCCGGCCTAAAAAAAAATTCATATTCGGACTCGGGTCCGGAAAAAAGGAAGTGTCTTCATTCTATAGATCTAGCGTTCAGTGCCTCCAATTTTCCGCCATTTTTTAGTTTCTCCCGCACTTTATCTGCCGATCCGATGCCCGCCGCCTCATTGATACAACCCCCCACCCTCCATGTTTCCCACTTTCTTTGTTGTAGAAAAAGGTAAAATTGAAGATTAGCAGATCACCTGACACCTGCATATTATGAGCTGTGCAAAAAAAAAAGACAGATTCATTCAAATACACAAGCCTGTGTCATCTCGATTGTTTACCAAGAAAAAGTTGTGTTGCTGCGTAGAGCCGAGCATACGGCAACTTTTGATTCCATAGACCAGCGCACAATTCATTACGTAGATCTACGTCAAGACTAGCTTATTATTGTAATAAATGATCAGTTGCCGTTGGGGGGGGGGGGGGAGACTGGCGCGTATGCGACGTTCAACGCCCGAAACGATAGTGCCCCCCCTTCCCCGACACGCACACACAGCCACACGACACGTGTGCAGGCCTCTTGACAAATAAACATTTATTAGAAGCGCTATAACTCAAATTCATCATAAGATAAAAACTCGGCTCCAGCACAATTTAACGCCATTTTGCCCGAAGTGATCCCCGTCTCTACCCAGCCTGAGGCGAGTCACGAGTAAGGCAGGACAGGAAGCCGGAGTCACGAGTCACAGGAAGTCGGAAGTGATGTCATGCTGAACAAGAATCAGAGTCCGAATAACATTTTTTCATATTCGGACTCGAGTCCGAATAGTCACTTCGTTAAAATACATGCACTGTCATTAAGGCACCTGGTTTTGTCTCAAATACAAATACTTTAGGTACTGCACACTAAAAATTTATATTTACAATTCAGTAGTCCTATTTTTTTTAAATGGTCAGTCTACCATCATATTTAGAATAAGTACGGCTAGACTGCCAGTCTAGCCGTCATTAAGTACGGCGGACTCGAGTCCGAATAAAAAAACAAAGTGACTATTTCTCCGAACGTTCGGAGAAATAGTGCCTAGCTTTATTTTCCCGAACGTTCGGAGAAATAGTGCCGATCTTTATTTCTCCGAACGGTTTCCGGCTTCCTCTCTCGTGATTTTTTGCTTGTTTGTGAGAGTTCAGAGCCAACTTTTATACTGCCATTCTGCGAGGTCTGGGAAGGAGCAAATTTTTGGGTCTAGATCTAGATCTATTTCAATTTTCAAGAGCTAGTCTGAAGATTTTTAGATGAGTGTAAAAACGTGAATAAGACAGGTTTCACAATAGAGTGAAATCAAAATTAGAATAGCCCATAAACAACCATAAAAGTTAACAAATAAGGGCTTGTGTCCACCTGTCCGAAGAAGATTGGCTATTTTAACCCTAAATGTGCGTCATTCAAAAAAAAAAGTACAGGATTATATTACATTAAATCAATGCCCACCGAGCGCGTTTTGTTCTGCCGATTTTTTGGCCCCCGCAGCGGGGGTGTTTCGTGGGACGCTACACACTAACGCAAAGGTTGTTGTCTTCATCTCGCTCTCGCGCCGCTTTTCGTAAATGGATATGAATGAAACTTGGCAGCCAGTCAGAAAAGAGGTCAATCTCCTAGTATGCAGTTTGACAACT